AAGCTGGGCATGCTGAATGCCTGTAATCCCAGCATTTGGGAGGCTGAGGCAAGAGGATCACCAAGAGTTAGAGGCCAGCCTGGGATATATAAACTACTAGCAAGACCCTGTCTCAAAAAAGCCAAAAAAAAAATTACTTATTTTTTATTACAAAATTAATTAATACAGCTCAGAGAAAAATTCAGTCAAAAGAGTATCTAGTTAAAAATAAAAGTCTCTATTTTTCTTCTACTTGCCAATATCTAATACCCAGAAGTAACCTTTGTTTATAGTTTAAGGTGTAGCTCTTCAGACAACAAGCCTTTGCAAACATATCTGGTGTGAAACTAAATTTGGTCTCAGGCTTCTGCCAGTATTTTGAATTCCTACATAAGAGTAGTGCATTCTAACTCAGGGTATAAACAATCTTCAATCTAACTAGGAGTACATTCTTCTAAAAGTAACAGCCTCAGCCAATCATAGCATGTGAATTTCAGCCAATCACAGCCTGCTGCCCCCAATAAGACTCTGTCCATATGTGTCAGATGTATAGTCAGACCAATTCTACATAAGAAAAACTTGGAGCAATAGCCAACAAACTGTTTGGTTACTGCTAGATGTCACTTTCTTTTCTTTTTTTTTTTTTTTTTTTGGTATAAATACTGCCTGCACATGTTGCTGGGGCAGACTCTCTGAATCTTTCTGTTTTGAATGCTGCCCAATTTATAAATTCTTCTTTGCTCAAATAAACACTGATTAATTTGTCTAAAATTTCTTTTTATCTTTTAATAGTGTTTTTTGTTGGCCAAGGACAGGGATAAAATTCATCTTGATGGAAAAGCAGAATGTCGACAGGCCTTGAATGCCATAGGGCCTTTTCTCTTGCCTTTCTTCTCTTGATCAGCTTTGTTTTTCTCTGTCGCTGAAGAAGGCTTTTGGGTTCCTCAGTTCATTTGAAAGAACATGGTAACTAAAAAGTACTAAATAAGTAGGTCCTCAGAGTTCAAGAAGGGCATAAAGATTGTACTAGAGCCTTAGTACAATTTGACAAATGAAGAAAAGGCTTCAATTGGCCTATAGTAAGCCAAATGCTCTTCCTGTAGCCAGCCTACCATGAATCAACTTGGTGGATAACAAAGGATAGGCAATTCAGGTTTTTAAAAAGCTGTAAGTATCCATTCCAAATATTTTGGTTTTCATTCCATGATAGTACATTCTTTTTAAAGGCTATATAAATCCATTTATTTTACAAGTCAGACAGTCTCATGCATGTTTAGCTTGCATACAAGTTTTTCTTATTAAATAATACAACAATGAAAAATGACCTATTTGACATCATGAAATTTAGGTGTCTAGAGTATTTGAATTTTTCTTATGTTACTATTTCACTCTCAAAAAGTTTTCAACATATGACAGCCCTACATACACTGGGTACTCCCCTTATTTTTGGGCTTAAAATATTATGAAGGGATAAGGTATTTATCAGCTTAACAACATTTACTGATCATTTATCCTGTGCCAAGCATCAGGCCTGGAAACTTGGAAATAAAAATAAAATAAATCAGAAATAAAAAACCCGTACCTCCAAGGAGTAAAGACAATGGACAATTACATCATCTATGTATATGCTGATGAGTCCTATAAAGAAAAATAAAGAAGGATAAGATGGCTCTGCAAGGGTAGAGTAGAACTTGCTATTTCAATTGGAGTGATCAAGGAAAGACTCTAATAGGATGACACTCAAGCTAAGAATGGAAGAACTAGGAGTAACACGAGGTAGACATCAGAGGAAAAGGCTTCCGGGCTAGGGAAGTATTCTGCCTGGGCATTTCAAGAGAGTAAAGAGGACCTGGAGACTGTGACAGTGAACAAGAGGGAGAATAATGTAAGATCTAAGGGTAGGGTCTAAGGAAGATCTTTATCAAGACTGGAAGTAGGGGGGGCTGGGCGGCACAGCGCCTGCCTGGCAAGCACAAGGTCGTGAGTTCGATTCCCGGTACTGGAAACCTCCCCCCACCCCCACCCCCGCCCCAAAAAGACTGCAGGTAGGTTTTGCTGTGTGTAATAATATCAACTATAAAAGGTACTTTGTCTATTGCAACTCCCATCTCCACGGTGCAAGAACACAAGTCCTCAGAGTTCTTAGCTGAACTCGTGTGTCATCTCTGAAAAAAGCTTAAGTACGAGAATGAAAAGAAAGCACTCATTCAAAACTTTGACCTTCTAAGTAAAGCCTAGTCCAGGCTGGTTACACAGGCCTAGAAAACACTCCTTACCCTACTAACCAGGAAACTCCCTTGATTCTTATCGACTCTCGCATTAGCCAAGAGGTCCTGCGCCCGCGAAGGGGCGCTGCTCAGCTGCGCCCCGCCCACCAGTGGGCGGGGAAAATGGGCCTCGGCACCTCCTCCAGAAGGGGCCAGTGACGGCGCCGTAACGCGTGGAGGGAGCGAGGCGTGTCGCAAAACCGTCGCAGTGGTACTATCCCCCGGTCTTCAGACGTGGCGCTTTACGGTGCTAGGTAGACAGTGCTGAGCTGGGAGATGTCGGCGGCCGGCTGGGCGGAACCCCTGAGTGCCCCTGGCAGCTTTGCGAAGCGGGTCCTGGTGACCGGGGGTGCTGGTTTCATGTAGGTAACGGCGCTGCTGGTCCAGCAGTTTCCCCCGAAACCCTAAACTTCCTCGGCTCTGTTTGCCTTTGCAATTTGGGTCCAGTTTTGCGGGGTGTGTAGTAAGGGAGGGTCCTAACGAACCACGTGGGCCCTCTTTTGCCTCTCCCGCTGGCCTGCCAAGACGTGTTTCCTTTGAAACTGCCACGTCTTTAAATCGCTTGCTTCCCCAAGCCGGTACTGTGCTGCTGTGGTACTGTCGTACTGTCCCCCAGCTTCCTAACTGCCCCAAATATCACTCATGGCAGTGAGCACACTCTCCAGTGAGTTTGCGTCAACGCGCACTCCCCACCGTCGTGATGCACAGGCGCCCCCAAAACGGTTTGGGGATTATGGTGAGATTGACTTGTTCAGCAAACTTAAAAATCCTACTGTTGACAACCTGTACTAGGTGTTGATTGCCTCTCACACCCTCTTTTGATCAGCAAGTCTTGTCTCCTTCCAAAGTAAACGCTTAATGCGACCCCTTCTCAACACCCTCGTTCGGCCCAAGCCCCTGTCACCGCCCTCTTGTGCCTGGACACCACTGTAGCCTCCCGATTGGTCGTTCTGCTTCTGCACTTGTTACCTTAAAGTCTGTTTCTCACACAGAAGTCAGTGGATTTTTTTTTTTTTTTTTAAGTAAATCAGATCTTGTTGATGCATAGAATTTTATTCTGGTGGTTTCTGTCAGAATAAAGTTCAAACTCTTTTTCCATATCTAGAAGACTCAAGCATCCACATCATACTTTTTCAATGTGATCTTTTACTGCTCTATACCTGCTGCCCTTACTCATGATTTTTAGAACACAGCGGGCTAGTGCCCCTTCTGTCTTGAGGGCTGTGCACTTGTTCTTCCTTTAAGTAGCTGTTTGCTCCACTTAATTCAAGCTTTTCTCAGGTACCACATCCTTAGAGGGGCCTTACCAACTCACCCTATCTAAAAAATAGCCCCTCTTCCAACTCACACACTTACCTCTGCCTGAAATTATACTGCGTATTTGTGCTCACTTGCTACCTCTGTCCCTATTCTAGAGTGTAAACTCCATGAAGGCAGCAAGTAATGTTCACTAAGCACGTGGAAGTATTGAATGGATGAATGCTGGAGTAATTTAAAGGGGAGACTCTGTTGCCTGTGAAGAACTGAATGTCTGTAAAAGAAGAGAGAATGTGGGAATTCTTGTTTATTGCTCATTAGCACATTAAATCATCTTCTAATCTGACAGTCACTTGGCCAAAGGTGTCAGGCAGGCAAGTTTCCGAAGGAAAGGAGTGTGGACAGGAGAGGGTCATGCTGGTATGAGAGTGCTGGTCCAGTGGGGCATGTCCTAGAAAGTACTGTGAAAGGGCCACCAGGAACAAAATTGCTCGTGGAAATCCAACAGTGTTTCTTTCTGTGGTGCTGGTGATCATCTCATGGAGATCTGCCTCTGGTTCCACTTCGAGGTCTTCTGAAGCCCGGGAGCCACTATAGATCTCCAGCTCTGGATGGTTTCAGCTAGCATTATCCTTGGAAACCTGGAATCAGTTCAGGATTCCTGTAAGATTCTGATATATGCTACCAAATTTATATGCCATGAGATAGCAGTTGCGGGAAGTTCTATAAACATTGTAAATGATTGTGCTCGTACTAATTGAATTTTTTCATACTTACATCCGCAGTTCCTGAAAAGGCATGTTACAGTGTCAGCACAGTTATTTAACACTTGTTATGTTTTTCATCCTGCTTTACTGTCACACTCCAAACATGCATGACAGCATCTTTTGGTTAAACTAATTTTTTCTTTGTCCCCCAAGTCAGTAAGTTTTCTTTCTGTAAAAGGAGTATAAGAGTTAGTTTATAGATACTGTTGAAAAGTTTAGTGAAAACTGTGCATGTGTGTACATTTAGTATAGTTATATTATTTCTGTTACCTTTGAAAAACTTCTGTGTTTGAATATTTTCCCATAACTCAACAGTTTTGGAAAAAAAATTCAGAAATTTAACATTAAAGTTTTCCACTCACAAGATAACTTTTTTTCTTATAGTGCATCACATGTGATTGTCTCTTTAGTAGAAGATTATCCAAACTACATGATCATAAATCTAGACAAGGTGAGTTTTGTGAAAACATAAACTTCATGCAATGAAATTATATTCCAATTTAATTACTTTTTAAAAAAAGTACTAGAATCCTATTCTGATATTTTAGTATTTTATTTAGTCATTGTAACAACTTAAGGGTCTATACAGTCACGTGATCTTGCTGCATTTTATCTTGTATAAAATCTTTTGAAATTTCAATTTACTGTGCTAGGTCATAAAGTCAAGTGTTGAGTATGGTATTTACCAAAAAAATCACATTTTTCTAAATTCAATACTTAGTGAAATGTGATTATGAATCTTTTTTGGTGTCAACATGCTTTATTTGTGTTCATTATTTAAGGATTTGATTTTATAACTGCCACCTCCAGAAAATTATATATTTTTTAAATTAGAAAGCAAATTTAGTTTTTAGTTTATTGCAGTAATTGAAGTCTTTCAGAAAAATCTGACAGCTACCGTTAGTGATCTCTGGGTTTTTTTAATGTTACAAAAAAGATGCAAATAGATACCTTGGTTTTGTAAAGCATAATAACAAAAATACACAAGCAAAAAATAACTTCTTTTAGGAGTTTTTGCATTGTCTTACTATTATGGACAACAAAATTCATTGATTGATTGATCATTACTTTTTTACTTATCTGTACACTAATTTATCAATAGTTAACTCAGCACCAAGTGTAATGAATTATAATGTGTTAAGCAATTATGTTTTTAATCATTAATTCCTTTTCTGTGAGGAATGATGCATTTTTCTAGCCACCAGTATCTGGAGGCAAATTTGGGCAGAAGTATGTTTTAGGGATTTCTAAAAAGGCTTGGTTTTGATGGTTTTATTTTTGGACTTGGAAAAGTTAATAAAATTACTTGTTTTCTACTCTTAAGACTCGTATCAGAAGTTTAAAATGTATAAAAACACAGAGCAAGCACACTTTTAAGAGGATATTTTCTCATGCTACAGTAATTAACTTCTATGGTCCTTAACTTGTTATTACATAGAAAAAGCTAATACCACTCTTTATGTTGCCTCCTACCAATGATACTGCCTTATTTTAAGCTGGATTACTGTGCAAGCTTGAAGAATCTTGAAACCATTTCTAACAAACAAAACTACAAATTTATACAGGTACTGAAGTTGTAAAATTACTATATCTCTTTCAAATTTTAAAATTTTTGTCATTTCCCCACTACCACCACCACGTACACCTTAAGTCAGGGTCTCACTGTGTATTCCAGGCTGGCTTTGAACTCTATAACTATCCCAGTAGCCCAGGCAGGTCTCAAACTTGGGATTCCTCTGACTTAGCCTCCAGAATAACGGAAATTTTAAACTCACTATTGCATCTCTTCAGTTGTACAAAAATTATAGTATCTTTGTACTTTACAAACATGTGATAAGGACTGGGAAGGCACACTTAAATGAAGACCTTTTAAAAGATCAAATACTTAACTTCCAGAAGTACCATGTGCTCTAGAGAATAGTACTTTGACACCACATAAAAGCTGCATGTGATTTTTGGTACCTTGGAGATTCTATGAGTAGCTGACTGAATTTCCATGGTTTGTGACTTTAAATCCTCATTAACCTATTTAATAAGCCCTTCCTGGGATTTGAAGTGAAAAGTAAGAAATGTATTGTTACCCTGAAGGCTAGCCAGACCATGAAGCTCATAGCAGTGTTCCCCTGTGAAGTCAGATTCTCGCTGGAAGGCTGATTATTACTAACCACTCTTAGACAAGTCCGAAGTATAAACCACAGGGCCAGTTCATTAGTCTGCAAAGGAAAATGTTACTGTCAAATAAAAGTGTGTCATGACTTATGTTGATTTCCTGAAATGTGATTCTATAAACTTTTTTTAACAATAAAAACTTAAAAGAAATGCTAAACAAACATTTCATATTTCTTTCTTTGTGGAAGTGTTTTCTTCAGAGATTTGTTGAGAATACAATTAGAAGAATTAAATGTACATATAAACATAAAAAGTATTAATTAGTTGTGACAAAATGTTTCCCAATGTCATTCTATTTTTTTTTTTTTCCCCTGTACCGGGAGTTGAACTCACGACGTTGCGCTTGGCAGGCAGGTGCTGTGCCACTGAGCTAAATCCCCAGCACCCCCAATGTCATTCTAATTACACTTACTTTAAGTTTATGTTAGTAATGTTTCTCTCAAAGGTAAAAAACTTCCTTGTTGAAGTTTATGATAAGTGATACAGATCTTAGGTTGGTGAGAATAGGGTGAAACAAACACAGTATTAAGTTGTTGCTCAATGAAATAGTGTTTCATGCTTACTTGCAAAAACATTTTGAGTTGAAAATACCTTATATTCTAAGATGCTGGAGAAATAACATCGTTCCTGTACTTGCCTAACCACCTCCTTGAATTTTGGAGATACTCTCTGTTGATCTGAGAAATGGGGGGTGGGGGTGTTATAATAAAAAAAGATTATTATGAATGAGCGTGCTAAAAGAAACCTAGCTTTTTCATGTTTGCCTTTTCATATAGGGTGATATATGTGATGCTCATTTTGTGAAACGGCTTTTTGAAACAGAGGAAATCAATATAGTACTACATTTTGCTGCACAGACACACGTAGGTAAGCAGCCAAAACATGTACATGTACTTTCGTTTGTTTTTACAAAAGTTAAAAACAGTCAAGACTAACCTGTAATGTGAGGGATAGATACATAGACAGCAAAACTGTAGAGAAAAGCAAAGAAAATTATAATTTTAAACCAGGCAGCAGGCAGTGGCAGAACTACCATTACAAAGCATTACGCAACATCCTGTCCTTTATTTGGGTGACAGCTACGTGGGTGCTTACGTTATTTATTTAGCTGTACTTCTAGATTCTTCTGAATATATGTTCTGTTTCATAGTAAAAATGTTAGACTAATTAGTAGCAAATTATTAGCGAATACCTTAAACATACAGAATGGTATAGATAATAAAATGTTCATTGTGTGCTCACCAATTCAAGAAAAGCTATAAAATGTTCACTGTGTGCCCACCAATTCAAGAAAAGCCCACCAATTCACCCAAAGGCCTGTCTCCTTATTCCTTCCCCTCAGAAGTAATCACCATTCTGATTTTTGGTCAGTTCAGAGTTTAAACATATATTGAAGGTTATATAACAACCCGTACTGAGAATAGTGAGTCACATCATGCCAAGCATATCAGTGAATGGGCTCATTTTTCGGATGTACATGTATGTCCTCTTTCAAAGATGGATGTTAGATATGTACTTATTCAACCCCATTGCTAGACTTTGTCACTAGGGAAAAAAATGCTGGTCGTAACTGTCAAATAAAACAATGTACATAGAGTATGTTCTTTTTCAGGACTGTACAATATTCCAATATAAGATTATCCTACAGTTTACTTACATGTTTTACTCCAGATGGACATTTGGGTTATTTATGGTTTTGGGCAATTCTGAACAGCACAATCATGGGCATTCTTATGCCTGTATCGTGGTAACACGAGTCTGCACTACTCTCCTGACATATAGATAGGATCATAAGATTTGCATATATCAACATTAAGACATCAAACTATTTTCCAAACTGTACTTATTTTCCACTCCTTGAGCAATGTATGACGTTCTGTTGTTCCAGATTTTGCCAAAGCTTAGTTTTGTCAGATTTTTTATTTTTGCCAAGCTCAGCACTATGGAATAGTCTCTTCTTTACATGTTTCATTTATATTTTCCCTAATTACTGATAAGGTTGAGCACTTTTATTTTCTTTTCAGTAACTTGGATTTTTTTGTGAAATACTGTTGAAGTCTTTGTCTATTTTTAAATTGGATTATCTATTTTTCTCATTGAAAGACATGTTTCAATGAGAAAAAATGAGAAGTAGTGATCGTCAGTATATTTCTGGTGAATTGAGCCTTTTATTTTTATGAAGTGACCCACCTGCCTTTGTGATGTACACTGCTTTGAAGTCTGTGGTGTTGCTATTAATATGGCAGGGTCACTTCACATTAATTATATATCTTGCTCCATATTTTAATTTCCAACCCTTTCTCTAGCTTTAGGTCTAGCTGCATTTCTTACAAGGGATATGTATTTGGAGTTTTTAAAAAAATCTGTTTCGATCATCCTTGATATTTACCCTCTTAACTTGGTTTTTCTAAGGACCTAAATGAGAGACTTTTCTTTTTTTGTTCTGCTACTTTGGAAGATATATAATCTATTTGAATTCTTTAAATGCCTCCCTAGGGAATTACACATGTACAATTAGCTTATCAAAATAAAATCCATCAGATTCATTGTCCTCTTCCCAGTAGAGACACATTTTAACTCCATTTATTTATTCCTGTTTCCTTTTTTTTTAAGTTTGAAAAGATTTACATAGATCATTTTGTATTTTCTTTTTATAGGACAAATTTGACACCAATAGTTTTCTGTGTTCTAAGAACCTTACCTATGCTATGTGTTGTAAGTTTATAGAAATCATAAGTAGCAATGCCTATGTATGTTATTTCTCATAGGATTGCAGTTCTGGTGATGGAAGAGAAGTAAATAGTACTAGTGTAGAAACTGAGTTCCTTGTTTCACATTTGTTTTGTGTCTTGGGTGGAATTGTTTTAGCTTTTTTCTCTTTTCCTAGATCTTTCATTTGTCCGTGCTTTTGAGTTTACATATGTTAACGTTTATGGTACTCATGTTTTGGTAAGTGCTGCTCATGAAGCCAGAGTGGAAAAATTTATTTATGTCAGCACAGATGAAGTATATGGTGGAAGTCTTGATAAGGTAAGCTTATATATAGAAAATATACATTCCATCTATTTATTATGTACCAAGATACAGATTTGTCTCATTAAATCTATGCTGAGTGTCTTAGTTACTTTTCACTCATTGCTGAGACAAAATACCTGATGCCCAAAATTAAGGAAGGAAAGATTTTTATTTCACTTACAGTTTGTGAAGGTTTCAGTCCATACTTGGCTGGCTCCAAGGCAGAGTGACACATGGCACAGGGCAACGGTTCATAGAGGTGGAAGACAGCAAAGGCAACAACAGCAAAAAGGGAAGAGTGGAGGCAAGCAGCATCTTTCTCTCCCTTATGTATGCAAACTCTCCGCCCCAGGATGGGTGTAGCACTCACACCTGTAATCTCAGCATTGGATCATGGATCAATCATAAACTCTAGAAGCCCACCCCATGACTGCATGAGGCTTTGGGGGCACATCCACACACAGACCATAACATTGAGCTTTTCTCATACCATTAACTGTATATAATTGTGGCACTGTCCAGAATGTTATTTCGCTGTCTCTTCTGTTCAGAGCAAATGATGCTATTCAAAATGGGGAATAGCCTGGTCTTAATAGAGATGTATTCATAACTTGACTGTTGTGTAAGACAAAAACAGGTATTACCTTTTTGTCTCAGGCTTACAAACAAACTGAGTGGCATTCTCCCAGACCAAAGCATAGACATGTTAGGCTGCAGCGTACTCCTGCTCACCTTTCCCTTCCAGCCAGAAAATCATGTTCCATTCCTTTGAATGTCAAGGGGTAAGTGTGAAATTATTGTAGAAACTGGAATCTGTTTTCTTAAAAAAATTATTCCCAAGTGGTACACTTTTTACACAAAAAGATGACTCCATCCTCTAGTCTATATTTTCCTTTTTTTTTTAATACATAGATCTATTGGTAAATACCTATGCCACTCAGTACAATGACACTGAAATTAAGAGTGTGCTAAAGGGAAAATTCAGAAGAACCTATGTACAACTAATAATTATTGGATATTAATTGTTTATAGTTATTAAAGGTTATTTTCTATAGAGTTAACACTTGAGGATCGTTGTCTGATCTTGTGTCATATTTAAAAGAAAATTGCAGATAACATGACTTTGTAAAAAGAAGGCAGTTGCTCATATTACTGTAGTTTTAATCTCCACATAACCACTGTGGTTGACCTCTAAACTCTTAACGATCCACCTAATCACGTCCTAGTCACCATACAGTTTTCTCTTAATGTAAGCCTATTTTTATGTTAATTATAATTGTTACTGGTATTTATTAATTTTAAAAAGTTCTCTCAGACATTTCTAATCTGCGGATTTGTTGGTGGCATTATCCGGAGAATGGCTTCTGTTCTCTCGTAGAGCTTTGAACTTGCATTGTGGTAAATGCATTTAACATTATTAGGAGCAGTGGCAGGGCAAATCTAAATCTCCAGTCCCAGACCTACATGGGTCATTCCACTGAAGAGAAGTAAATCATTTATTGGTTATATTTGATAACAGATGGATGATACACTAGCTTCATTTACATTGTTACTCGGTTTAGAGATATTGCATAGGATGTGCCAACAGTCATTTTTATAACCAAGTAACTCTGTGACTTTGCTTGGGTGGCTCTTTCTTTTGGAGCAGCAGTAACTGTCAGTTCAGTGACACCAAGATTTCTGGAGCATGGCTTCTCCATCCCTAGTGTAACTAAATTTCAAGTGGAACCTGCCGTGACCGTGAAGGAATTTTCTTACTTCACACTGTTGGGGAATATTTATGCAGTGGCTTTAGAGTAGACAAACTACACGCAGAACATTTTAAAAACCCGTGGTTACTCAGCATCATGATCAAGCTGTTATATTTAGCAATCAACAGCATGGTGCAGAAAGCAAAAAATGTACATTAAAGCTCTGTGTTGGAATGCTTTACACTTTCTGCAGAACAGAAACTGAAATGACCTATTACACAATTAGTTACAAATATTGTCCTTAAGATTTGCCCTTACACATGGCACCATTGCAGCAATGGGTGAGTTTGTCACTTGGGCCTCTGTTGTAAGCTCTTGCTTCCCTGTTCTTCTCTGACCCAGCTTTGCTTCCTGGCAGTGTTAAAACCTGCCACTGCCACAGCTGCGGTAGCTGCTGGAACTGCCGTAGTCCACTTGGTTTCATGGATTGGCAAAGCGTTGGCCTTCACCACAAAGGGGCAACAGCGTCTGCCTCCAGTTTCCTCCTTTTATAGGTTTAAATTTGAAGATTGATTGTTGTAATTATAAAAATAATTACAGCTTTCATCGCCTCCTTATTTGCTGCTATCTTTTCTAGATCCAGTGTACCAATCCCCGCTGCTGCCTTGTCCACTGTGATTGCCATCAAAGCTACTGTGAACACTGAAGTTTCTTCCCTGATCAAAGTTGTTCTTTCTGGGTGTGGTGGCACACACCTGTAAAACTAGCACTCAGCAGGCTAAGGCAGGAGAATCGCCATGAGTTCAAGGCCAGCCTGAATTGCATAGTGATACCCTGTCTCAAAAAAAAGTGGTTGCTGCCACTCAGAGTACCTCTGTAGCCACTATCAGTTTTAGGGCCACTTTGACCTCTGTGGCCTGATGAAGCGCTAGCCACCTTCTGCTTCAGCAAGGCTTCCCTTGCCTCCTGGTGTGGCCTTTCACAGGCAGGCAGTTCTGAATGCCAGTGCTGCCCACGGAGCAATGCTTTTCAAAGGTTATAAAAGCAAAGCCCCTTTTCTTGCCACGGTTTCAGCCACTCGTGATTTCACTCACATCCCTTTTCCCACATATTCACAGTAATCTCTTAGCTGATGTTCTTCAGTGCCTTGTCTTTTTTTTGTTTGTTTGTTTTAAAAATAAAAGAAGGAAAACATATTAACAAACAGACATCCATTTACAAAATAGCATAAGAACAATATAAACAAAACAGAGTTACAGACAAAGTGGTAGGAAATTAGCAATGGTTGTTGTATTAAGTATTGATATCTTCAAAGTAGTTGCTCAGGAAAACAAATAGAGAAATACAAGATTGATCAAACAAGTAATCATTAACTGTTCCTTTCTGTAGAGCAATAGAAGTCAGTAGTACAACTATGTTAGCGATCCTGTATATACACACTTACATAATTTCCCCTTTTTTCCCTTCTCTTTTCCCACACCCCAGTTGGCCTTTACTTCTGGGCACTTTCATTTCACAGCGTGTATCATACTTCCTGGTTTTTATTCATTCTTTCAGGTTCTTATACTAGTGAGACAGTACGTGCTTACATATGCAGGTCAGTGCCTTTTCTTGAATGTTGCCAACAAAGATCTCTCCACAGCTAAGTGAGCATCTGAATCTAATTTTTTCCATTTTGCTACAACATACATGCTGTAAAAAATAGTTTAAAAAGATTTCTACTAAGAAAAAGCAGACCCTGACTACATTTCAATCCCCCATCCTACTTCTCAGAAGCAACCACTTTCAACTCTTTGCAATTTCTATCAGGTAAACTTCTTCCTTCTTATACCCTTTCCCCTCAGTATCAGGTCTGACGCAGCACCCAAAAAGAGTTTTAAAATAGAACTTTGCTGTTACTGTCCTCAAAACCTGCCAGTGTTTTTACAGGGCCGTCACTCTTGCATGTATCCAGGCCTTTGCCAGCTGTCCGATCTTATCTCCCATTTCTCTCCCTGCACACCAGCCTTCCTACAGTGCATTTGGACCCACTTCTGTCTCAGGACCTTTGTGTTCACTCTCGTCTGCCTTACGGGTTTTTATGAACATTGAAGAAATTAGTAGTACCAGTTGGAAGATGCTAGGCACACACACAGTTCCAGTAATGGTTCTTTTCATTGTAGTGATTGGCATGTAAATTTGTAATATAGTTTCTACTTAGAAAATGTGTAAATTTCTTACTTTTTAAATATATCTTTCTACAATTAGGAATTTGATGAATCATCTCCCAAACAACCTACAAATCCTTATGCATCATCTAAAGCAGCTGCTGAATGTTTTGTACAGTCTTACTGGGAACGGTACAAGGTATGCACTGATTTTAGAAACTCTTGAGTCATTTTGCTTTTGACTTAAGTGTTAAAATTCTAAGTCAGCTTTAGTAGCATTTCATTTTTAGGATAAAAGGTACAGTTTGAGAAAACTAAAATATTGATAAATTTAAAATACTGATTTATTACAATTTATTTATTACTATTAAATTTATTTAAAATTTATTATTATTCAAATTACTGATTTATTGTGTGTGCAATGGCAAGCAGAAACACTGAAATGACACCCAGGATTTGGAGGCAGATTTATTTTACGTTGACGGGCACTGATCGACTGGGGTCATTCCAAAAGTATCAGGCCCTGATCCTTGGTATAAGATCCTTTGGGGCTTACATGGAATAAGCAAGCAGGAAGTACAGAAGGAGAGTATTTGGCTGTCTTTGATTGGTTCTTACAATGTGCATTATAATGACCAGCTATGCATCACAGTGACCAGCCTTTTCTAGGAGACAGTAGTAACAGGAGCTTATTACCTGGGCCTCTGAAGTATAGTGGCTGGTGGGGGCCATTTTCTGCTACATTTGGACAACAAAGAATTTACTCTTTTTGTTCAATTTATCACTAAAGGAATATTGGAATATGTATTTTTTCCTGTTTCAGTAATGGGTAGAGTATTATAGGTACAGTGAAAAACCCTATTGGAACCCTAAGAGTCAAAGGAGACAGAGGGAAGACCTCCCCTTCCTGCCATGTGCTTCTCTACATGGTAGGCTCTCTTAGCTCCTCAGGACTGAAAGGTAGACTTGTCCCTGGGAGTTGTGGCAGTGTCATTGCAGAAGCTTTACCCACTAGGAATCAACTCAAATCCTTGACATTTGGCTTCACACTGATCTTTGTGAGTTATTAGGGACTGATCAGAAAGCCAAGCCAAGGAGTTACTCAAGATTCTTTGCCTTTTATGATCCACTGGTCCTTGTAGGAGTGGTACAATGGAGAGAGCCGACTTGAAGGTTACCTCTAATCAAACATAAGAGTCCTACAGGTGGTCTTGAAGTGAACAGGCGGAAATGTCCTTGGTATTCTGATACGAGACTTAGAGATCGGCCTCCATATGTACTCACCCTTCCTTTTTCTCAGTAGAGAGAATGGTCCTCTTCTTCCTTTGGGACCTTCTGCCTTTATCTGAACTCCATCCTCTTCTGTGTTTTTAGGAACTTTGCACACAGTCTTTTCACTCTGTCCTTAGATATGTGGAGTTATTTAGGCAAAAGTACCTATATTTTAAAACTGCCTATTCTTAATGTAGTCATTAGTGTTGGAGTTTTCCGTTAGCTGAATGTCGAATACTCTTAAGTTTCCAGTTGTCATCACAAGAAGCAGCAATGTTTATGGGCCACATCAATATCCAGAAAAGGTAAACTTTACTTCTAAATTCATAGAGGGTTTGTTTTTAGTGGTTGTAACTTGTCATTGTTGAAGACAATCTCCTAAGTTATTTGTGTAAAGAAATGTATGTAGTAATTTTCCATAATCATGTGTTCTGTGGAGGACCTGTGCAGATCTCATCAGACTCAAACACTGGAGTTGAAGTACCAACTCAGTGCTCACAGCTGATGTGACTTAGAGCTTGTCTTCAGATTAGGAGATAACGAAAATACTTAGAAAGGATTTTGAGGATCTAGTGAAATGCTATATGTGAAATTGTTTGAGGCTTCTAGGCCTCTAAAGCACTAGAGTATTCACCACTGCAGCCACACTGCAGTTTAGTCTTAGCTTGCAGACAGACCAATATGTCAGGGAACAGAAAGTTAAGAGCTCATTAGGCGGTGATGCAGTAAGACATATACATAAATGCGTCTTCGTGTCAGCTTGTTAACTGCTCCCTACTTCATCTTTATTGCTGTGGGCCTAAATGTCCTCCACAATGTAATAGAAGTAGTGAATAAAGAAATGCAGCTGAATGGCTGAAAATGCCTGTCCAACTGGGTTCTATATCACTAAGCTGGAATTGATCAACTGTTACCTGCTCTGCCTACATCTAGAGACTGGATTTTCTCACTCACCAGCTGTTTGCTTTCATCTCTTCGCGGTGTGGTGTTAATATCCACATTGCTTCATTCCTGAAACGGCCTTATCAGGTTTAATATTAATTTAGTAACTTCTTACTTGCCCTGTTTAACATAAGTTTTCTTTGAATCCAAGAGCACTGAAATTTACTTTTTATAAGTTGCACAAGCACTTTTGGAGTGGGTGCTTATATATAAAGTGATAAGTATGATTCCTGCTCTTAAGAAATCAATACAAGGTGAGCTTTGTGCTAACAGCAAACTGTCCATGAAGAATTTCTTTTCATTTTCCCACTGTTTATGTCCTTTTGTGTTCAGGTCACCGGTCTTTATGAAATAACAAACTATCTTAAAGTTTTTATTTACTTACCAGGTATAGTTTTTTTTTTTTTTCATGAATTCCTGGTAAGGAGAATTAAAATTTATCCATGTGTATTTCTTAACAATAATTTTTAATCTTAATGAGTTCAGATTCATATCAATGAATGAATTTCCAAAGTCTGAAATGATATTCAAATATTCTTTTAGGTTATTCCAAAATTTATATCTTTACTACAACACAACAGAAAATGGTACGTTATTACTGACCTTTGTACCCCTATGCTTTTCTGGTATTGATAGTGTTTGATAACCATCTTCCTTAAATCATGAAGTCTTAGTGTTGGAAGCCATTGACTTGAATGTCTCACCAAATGTAAGAATCCTTTCTCCATGTAATATAATCGTTTTTAAGGCTAATTGTAGTCTGTAATTTATAATTTACTAAGATAACTTCAATTCTTTAATGAGCTATCATAGAACTAGGAGTAATAGTATTAAAGTTTTATATATAATTTTACTTTCATCTTTATATAATTTTACTTTTTCAAAGGATAAATTTAATTAATTGAACAAGATATTTCTCAAAATAAATTTATGGTATAAAGTTAATAGATAAGTATTTCTCAGGGATTTGTGTTTGCCCTTCTCTTTTTGAGTATCTGTGGGAGGTTTAGACATCATTTAAACATTAAGAGTAAAGCTAAGAAAAGCTGTGAGAATTTGTGTTTTCAATAAAATATATCTTGGCTCCCCGTGGGAACTACCTTCTGTGGAATTGTACCCAGTCACTGATTTATTTTGGTGTGGGAAAGCTTTTGTACACTTTGTGATTCCATTTCATTTCATCTGTTTAGCTGCATTCATGGATCAGGGCTTCAAACAAGAAATTTCCTTTATGCTACTGACGTCGTAGAAGCGTTTCTCACTGTCCTCAAAAAAGGAAAACCAGGTGAAATTTATAACATCGGAACCAATTTTGAAATGTCCGTTGTCCAGCTTGCCAAAGAACTAATACAACTGGTAATGTATCTGCTGTAAAAGGTAGTATTTGCACAATTGCCACTAAATTAAGTGACAGTCAATATCATTAGTTTACAGTATATTTAAAAGAGAACAAATGGAAAATGAAAGCAATAAGTATGTATCATCTGAATTGTATCACTCCTTTGGTAATAGCTTTTCAGGAAAAAAAAATTCTTTAATGTGTGTACCAGTGATGCCAAACCATTTAGAGACAAGTGTCCAAATTGTAACCCAAAACTCATTTATTGCGAAGTGCCAACACTGCAACTAAACCTGACTACTGAGGTTTTAATGTAGAACAAACAGCTCCTACATTAACATCTTTTGTCTTAAAAACAACACACGTAGCCAGGCATAGTGGTGCATGACTGTAATCCCAGCACTCAGGAGGCTGAGGCAGGAGGATCGTTATGAGTTCGAGGCAAGTCTGGGCTACAAAGTGAGCTCAAGGCCAGCCTGAACTGCATAGCGAGACCCTGTCTCAAAAAGACCAAAAAAAAAAACAAAAACAAAACAAGCAAACAAAAAACCACACGTGCTGTAGGTTCACCACCACTGGTATGTACCCTGGTTGAAAGTTTTTAAGGTTTTAACTAAAACAGTTTTAAGGTTTAACTAAAGGTTTTAACTAAAAACGCTTCTGCTGATAGTAGAATAACATAAAAGAATTTAACCCATTTGTAAAAGGAAGCTTACATCATTTCACTATGCCTTTGATACACTATTACCATATTTACACGAACAAATATTATGTGGTTAAACTCACTCATGTACCTGAGTTTCATGAATACAAAATTGTATGTCTTAGAATCAAAGTACAGTGCGAAATAAAATATTTATTATTATTATTTTGTTTGGTTTTGGTACCAGGAATCGAACTCATGGCCTTACACTTGCCAGGCAGGTGCTTTTGCTGCTGAGCTATATCCCCAGCCCTGAATAAAATAATTACAAGGGTACATATGTGTTAGGGAACTCACTTAGAAATTTAAGGCCAGTAGAAAGGTGAACTTGAGTAGGAACCGAAGTCACTTTCCCTCATAGTTTATATATGTGTGTATTGTTTTTGAGCTTCAAATGGAATTTAGATTATAAATTACAGTGTTTTTGTTATTTCATGCTTTCAGACAGTTGGCTTTTATGTCTTTTTGAAATCAGCTATTTACTGTTGTTATCCTCTGGTCTCATTTTTTAATTTGACTCAAAAGCCTTCTCTGTTTTGACAGATCAAAGAGACCAGTTCAGAGTCTGAAATGGAAAACTGGGTTGACTATGTTAACGATAGGTGAGTAACGAGTTAAAACGTTGAGGAAAGTTTGTGAAATCTTAGGTATGTACAAAATTATAAATTCTGTAGGGCTCACTGAAAACTTGTTTATCTCTGTTGAATTCTCTGGTAAAGTATTCTTTTCCTAATTATAAATGTCATACAGATTAAGTGTAGCACTATTACATGCTATCTGATTTAGAGAAAGTTACTGATCCTTTCCAAATATGAGGTCTTCCCATTGTGCAGTGGGGGTGATGATGATAATATCATGCTTATAAAAGCATTTTAAGGGCTAATTGCCATGTATATAAATTATCTGGCCCAGGGCCTCGCACTTGAGTCGTAAGTTACATGTATTTATATGTATTTATTTCTCTATTCATCAGACATATATCAAGTTTCCTATGTGTGCTAGTACTAGATTTATACCTAAAATGTGGCTGAAATAAATTTTTAAAAAAGGATAACCTACAGAGAGGTTTAAGCATTTGAGGTGTTGAAAATCATGAATTTTTTTTCCTTATACTTTATAAATTTTCTACAGTAAGTATATGATTAAGGGGAATTTTGTTTTTTTTAAACTTAAACTATGGTAAAGATGCATGGACATACATAATATCTCGTAATATTTAAATTTGTAAATATGTATCCACAATGTCATTTTAAATATTTTATTTTCTAAGACCTACCAATGACATGAGATATCCAATGAAGTCAGAAAAAATTCATGGGTTAGGATGGAAACCCAAAGTGCCTTGGGATGAAGGAATAAAGAAAACAAGTATGTTATACATTGGTTATTGGGGGGGTAATTCAGTAGTATTTGAAGAAAAAATAATTCATTTATAGGACACTATATAAATTCAGAAAATTGTGATGAAACATTTGCACTTTTGAAATTATTAAAGTTAACATTTTCAACAATACTACTCTACTGTGTTTTTAAGCATCTTAAATTTCATAGAATGTTCTCTAATCAGTCTTCCTATATCTTATTAGCATTAATCAAGTACCTAGTTCATTGATTCTGAGGTTCATATTTTTTCGCTTTCTTTATTTCCTTACAAATTATGTGTCTTAAAATCACTGATGCCTTATGATTGTTGGAGCTTTTCCTTTCTTAGTGAAAACTTACTGCAGCTTTTTTTTTTTCTTATGTAAAATAATGGTCCATCTTAAGATCAGTGGCATCTTAGATTTGGTGACTATAAAGAGTTATACTCTTTAGGCGTCCTGAGTCATTTTGTCTTGAAACAAATAGGAAACAAATTGAATATATGCAGGAAAATCTATTAATATATGTGTAAAGACTATGTATATGTATTAAAAGCTCTCCTGTACTTAGAAATGTATTCATGAGAAAAGATCTTGTTTCCAAATTTGTAATACAGAATACTTGGGTTAAATATTAGAATGAAAAATCAAAGATAATTTAAAGCTATTAGGTTTTAACTAAAAATGCTTCTGCTGATAGTGTGACAACATAAAATAATTTCACCCATTAATAAAAGGAAGCTTACATCATCTCACTATGCCTTTGATACACTATGACCATATTTACATGAACAAATACTAGTTTTTTCTCTAAAACAACTTTTAAAACCAGTGTAAAAGACTTAAGCTACTTCACACTGAATTCTCTAAAATCAAAATGTCTTCAACAGCAGGTTCAGTATTGAAAGACTTTTGAAGTTAAATAGAAAAAAATGATTAAGTTTTAATTCTAAGATTTCAGGTGACCAAATTCTTCTGGTTAACTTCATTGTTCAAAATCAAATCTTTTAGCTTCATTAGTTAAAAATCAAATTGTCTGCTGATAAGCTAATAGGCAAGACTTTCCTTGCATAGCAGGAATTTAGTAAATGTTGGTTAATTGGTTTTTAGTTTTTCATTTTTAACTTTTGTCTTATTTTTCCTATCAGTTGAGTGGTACAAAGAGAATTTTCACAACTGGAAGAATGTGGAAAAGGCATTAGAACCCTTTCCAATACAATCACCATGCGTATAATCAGCCATTTTCAGAGAAAGAAGAAAATTATCCTACCTCATCAGGCAGTATGCAATCAAGTGACCAAATGACGTGCCTTCTTTTCATTTGGAATCAGATCATAACTTTTTATATGACGTTCACTTACAAAATGCCTCAGTCTTTGGAACAGTTTTCATATTGGCCTAAGATTGTGGAAATTAGGGAGTGGTAAGCATAGGAAGACTCTCTCGAGGTGAGTCAGGCAGAAGCCTTCTGGTTCGGAAGGCAGAGGCGCGCAGTGGCTCAAGTGGATGGCGACCTTGCCTGGCTTTCAACGCAGCCCGCTTCCAGCCTTTTCCAGTGCCCAGGAAGTCTGAAATTGGTACTTTGAAGCAACGTATGATGAATATCATGGTCTAATTCATCTTTTTTTAGTCAGATGTTGTGCTGTAGTTGCTTTAAAAATGAAAAAAAAATGGAAGCATATCTAGCACTTTTTAACTTTTGATAATTTTGTAAAATTTAAGTTAAATGCTTTTTGAAAGCTGTATGGAAACTTTTTATACTTTCAAAATCATTTTAACCTATAGATAACCTGAACCACAGAATTTCTATCATGTATTTACTGTTCTAAATGATTTTATTTATGAAATTGTCAGTATTTTAATGTATTTAATGTAGAATGTGGCTTTTAAAATAATGTATGTTTTTATTTTGCTGTAGAAAAAAATTTTAAAATACTTGATTCTGTATTTTTCGTCTTTGTCCTACTTGTATTAGACTTGAGAAAGTAACTGATGGGATATTGGGCTGAGGAAACAAAAAGAAACTGAGAAACCCTCTATGAAGAATGCGGGTTTCTAGCGTGGAGGCTTCTTGATCCTTATAAAATCTGAACCCCCTTTAAATGCAGTTCATCCCAGCCTCCCACCGTGCCCGCTCTCCCTGCCTGTACCTCTTCCATTCCTCTAGGTAGTTTCCCACCGGGAGAGAAGGAGAACAGTGTCCGTTATGTCCTGCGGAAAGCAGATCGCAGAGGTCATTCCTAAAGATAAGAGAGGGAGGAAGCAAGACTGACAGGACAGTGATGCTGGCTGAGGCTCTTTAGGCAGAAAAGCAAGCCCACACGGACACGATGTTCCACATGGAAAAAGTGGCTCCTGTGAGAGTCAAGTCAGCTTGCCACCCAGGAGACTGGTTGATTTCCTCTCGAATGCACACAGGTGGCAGTAGCTAGACTGGCCATGGTAAGTGGCAGTTCATACTGTGGGTCTGTGGCAGTCACCTTCATTGGCTTTGGCATCCACCCCAGGGATCCACAGAGCACACTTACGGGTTTGTCTGGGTGGGTCATAGAGGGGTGGCTTTGAGGCTGGTGGGCTGGGCCCTCACCCCTTCTGCTCCTGCACTCTTCCATGCTGAACCAAGTATCTTTGGTCTTCTGCACACTTTCATCCTGATGCTTCTGCTTTGGAGCCAGCTGATGATGGACTGAAACTGGGAACCAAACTGACCTCACCCTGTTAAATTGTGCCCGTCAGGTGTTGCGGTGTCCGCCGATGGGAAAGCTGACTGACGACAGAGTCCCATGAGTAGGTCCTGTCTCTGCGTTTATGCCTCCCATTCATCCCGGTGCCCAGGGTGGTAGTTCTGCGTTGCTCATGATGAAGACTGGACAAAGTACATGACAGGGTCATTTTGTGCGTTGAGTGCTTCAATGCCTTTCCCATGGTGGTTGCTTTCTAGTGGATGTGGACATGTGTCACACAGCTCTTCCCCTCCTCCCCCATTTTCTGCCCTACGCCCATCTGCATGCCTCCAACCCTGTCTTCTGTCCGTCTCTGCTCCTGTTGTCATTTTCTTCCCAGGCCAAAAGTAGATAACCAGGCTCCTTGCCCTGCCCGTAGCTTAGTGCACAGGGTGGATTACTTCTAGACATAGTGCATGACCAGATACCCCACTCCAAGTTCTGTCCTTTGAAAAAGTCCCCTTTCTGTGTTAGTGTGAAGGCCTCACCAGCACGGCTTGGTTGTAGCCCAGCCAGCTGTTTGCTTGCACCCACATAGCAAGCCCACCCATTCACAAGCTCAATGGCCGTCTCCTCTTTCCACTGGTTGTATGATACCCTCTATGACTACAAGTATCGGGAGGGGAGCACCGGTATAACTAAGGTGGTCTCATGGGAGTCTGGCCCACCTGCTCTGGAAGCTTGCTCCTGCCCTCTGATTCTGCCTGACTCAATCCCACATGTTCCATTTCCATCCTTGTTTTGTTTTGTTGAGACAGGGTCTCATGCTAGTTCATGCTGGTCTTGAACTTACTAGGTAGCCCTGGCTGGGCTTGAACTTGCAGCGATCTTCCTGCCTCATCTTCCCCAGTATCCATTTCCATCTTACAGTAGAACACTCTGGACCCACCTGACTTTATAGTGAGTGGGGACTTTGGGTTGTAGAGGCTGCCGTAAAATGATGGAGTAGGTAGCTTCAATGACAAACTTAGCTTCTCATTTCTGGAGGGTAAAGTCTAAGGTCAGAAGGTGTCAACAGAGTTGGTCTCTTTTGAGGCTTCTTCTTAATTTGCAGATGGCTGTCCTCTGCCTGTGTCCTCACATGGTCTCGCTCTCTATACGCACATGTCCATGGCTAAATGTCCTTATAAGGACACCAAATGTCATATTGGATTAGGGCGCACCCTAAGGCCTTGATTTTAACTTTCTCTTTAAAAGTCTTATCTTGAAGTACGATCACACCCTGTATGGCACTTGGGATTAGTACTCCAGTGTAGGAGTTTGTTCAGCTAGGCCAGCCCTTGATAGTCCAAACGAACTCAGCATGTATGGTCACTTCTGAATGCATGGTTGTGTGATGTCACATGTTCAAGGATTCTGTCTACCCAGGCCAGTTACCTGCCAGAAGTGGTATTCTGAAGGCATGGAGTTCTCCATTGTAGTTGGAATGGTCTTTCTTTTTGAGACAAGGTCTTGTTATGTGGTTTAGGCTGGTCTTGAACTCACTGTGTAGCTCAGGATGGCCTCAAACTCATGGTGATCCTCCTGCCTCAGCCTCCCTCTATAATCCCCTGCTGGGATTCCGGACATGTGCCACTAAGGCTGGCTCAGGAATGGTTTTGTTTAGAAGCCCTGAGAATTGTATGGTGATTGTCCCACTGGTGGAGCTCACCATGTAATCCATACTGTGTCTCTACCACTAATGCCAGTTATGCTGGAGTCATCCAGATCATATAGTCAACTTGGGAGAGATGCTACTATCCTAGCTTGAAGGTATAGGATAAAGCATGCTTCAGCACACCCTGACCATTGGACTCCTGAAACCTGTGCTGAAATGGCAAATTCCCGAATGGACATTCATTGGATTTATCTTCCACCTTCTCAGTGAATCTGAATGACCAGCGCCACCAGTATGCTGCCCACCTCTCGCTAACCCTGCCTGAATTGCATGATACCATGGGTGTGATAGATCCTAGTGACATTCTGCAGCATGTTCAGATGCAAGTTTTTTAGGAGAACAGAACCAGTTCACATAGCCCCAAGATGAAATTTTAGGGGGCTGGGGATTTAGCTCAGCGGCAAAGCGCCTGCCTGGCAAGCGCAAGGTGGTGAGTTCGGTTCCTGGTAACGGAGAAAAACCAAAACCAAAAAAAAAAAAAAAAGAAAATTTAAATGCATCTAGTTTCTGATCTTTCCTGATTGAAAAGTACACATTGACCAAATTAAAGCCTCAGCTGAACGTGGTGGCACATACCTGTCATCCTAGCACTCAAGAGGCTGAGGAAGGAGAATCACTGTGAGTTGGAGGCCAGCCTGGGCTGCATAAGTGCATTCAAGGCCACTCTGCACTACCTAGTCAGACCCTGTCTCCAAAAAAAAGCACAAAAAGCAACAATGCCATGTTCCGCAGGTGTAATACACCCTAGCTAAGAAGATGCAAATTGAGCACTGCCATCGGAGTTGCTACTTGATTCAACTGGCATTTGTCTGCTGTTGTTCTCCAAGGTCCACCCGATCCCAACAGGGACCAGATTGGTCTCTACCAGAATGTGGTGAGGACCTGCTTCTGCATCCTTGAGATCCTCAACGTCATCTTTATCTCCTTCAAGAGGCAGTTTTGGTTTTTATTTATTATCTTGGCTAGGGGAGCAGCCCAGCTGAGACACCCCCTGGCATTCTCTTGACCAGCCAGGCTGGAGGTCATCCAGTTCCAAACCCATCTTCCCAGCTGCCTTGTGAGATCAGTCCTGGAACCAGCTGTGCCAGCTGGATCTTTTGGAAAGCAGTGACAGACAGAATTGAGGTGCAGGCAGTTGAGGAGGGAGAAATACGTATCATGAGAGAAAAGGGAGGATGTAGATTTGAGCGGGAGAAATTCTGGGGCTGCATTGCAGATCTAACAGCTTTGAAAAGAGAGAAGAGGAAGAGTTGGCAGAGAGCCTCAACTAGGATGCAGATGGGACATAATCCCCATGAATTCTGTGGGAAGGTCCAGAGCAAAGGCTGCTTGTTAGAGAAGTCCACACTGGGTGGAGGAGGCCAGTTTCCCTGGTGTGTTCAGTCACTGGCGAGGCTCCTCAGAAGCAGCAGAAGTAAATCCTGAAGCCTAGCAGGGGGAGGCTGTCGGCTAAATGCTCTGTCTTTGCTTACAGGGAAAGCCACCTCCACGATTCCCACCTGGCTTCTTGTGGTGAAGGAGGCACTCCGGGAATTCAGTTGCTCTCTAACAGACTTTGAATGAAGCCACTTGCTTTCAGTCCAGTGGTTTACTCTCCTTCCCTCACATACCAGTACCTCCCATAGCTGCTGGTAGTACAGGACCCTCAGGCTCTTCTTGAGGTCCCCTAATCTACAGTATCCGAGAAGACTTGCTGGATGTGATGGTTACGCTGTGTCTGAAAGGGTGGACAAGAGCTAGAAAGCTAGAAGCTGACAGTGATTCCAGGCAGAGAGACTGGCAGAACGGAAGCACCAAGTTGTAAGTGAGTGTTGGAGCGATGACAAGTCATAAGGATCCTGCTGCCACAGTAATTCGCATTAGTTTGTTAGGGAAATGAGTATTGAAAGTAAAATAGCACTTCACACCCACTATGATAGCTGTCGTTAAGGAAAAAAAAGTAACAAGTGTTGGTGAGGAGGTGAAGGAATGGGGACCCTGTTGTTGGGAATGTCAAGTGATGCACCTGTCACAGAGGACAGTTCCTCAAAAAGGTAAGCAGACCTACCATGTGGTCTAGCAATGCCACTTCTACGTGTGTATCCAAAAGAAAGCAGGGAACCCAAACGGATACGTGTACACCAGTGCTTATCACAGCATCACTCACACTAGCCGGAAAGTAGAAACAGCAAATACCTGTAGGTACATGAATGGGTACACAAAATGCAATAAATATATATAAGGAAATATTATCCAGCATGTGGAGTTCTGATGCATGTTACAGCATGGATAAAGTAAGATCCCTGGGCAAGGACATTACGCTAAGTAAGGTAGACACAGAAAGGTAATATGGTGTGAGCAGGTGTGAATTGGGATAAAGGGAAGAAGAAAGGTAATTGTTGTTTAATGTGTGTAAGGTTTCTGTTTAAGATGATAAATAAGTTCTGGAAGTTGCACAGTTTAGGATGGTAACAGAGTTGCACAACATTGTGAATGTACTCAATGCCGCTGAATTGTCCACTTATT